AATTATGTGAACGAGCAATAGGTAAGTTCCTGCTTTCGCAAAGAGAAGACAGTGCGAAGGGAAAAAATTGCCAATAGAGGAGATAAAGCACTCTCATTCGTATCTAATTCTGAAGGGCACACAATTTTTGAAGAATCGAAAAGGAAACAGTTCTTGTTCCTCTTTCCAATCAAGTTTTTATTCCGGAGAAAAGAAGATCAGCGAGGGAGGGAGACGGAATGCGGAAAATTTGAAATGCTACTGGCCGCCACAATGAGGGACAATCAGGAGTCACGAAAAATTTGTACGAGCGTAGCGAACTATCCAATATCAACAGAAACAACCGCAAAAATATGCCCGCATATCCAAAAATGACGATTGTTAATTGATTTATGAAACCGGACACATTGTAAAATTACGAAAAGAGAAGTGTGTTTATAAGTTTTTTGAAGATATTTATAATTTGTTTTTTCACACTATTTGATGAACGAGGAGGAATAGGGAAAATGGAAGGTAAGTAGAAGAAAATGACGGAAGGAGAAAGGCGAGAAGAAAGGCGCGATGGAAGAGGGAGATGATAAAATGATGGAAACAAGAGTAAGAGCGGATTATTTGTAAAGTGCACATACATTTCCATGTGAAATAACAAAATATACTTTGGTCAATATCTATAAAACTTATTTTTTGAAATGATTTTATTATATTTCGTGATGAATGGATGTTTGATAATGGTAAGTGGAAAAGTCTGCTTCGCGTCACGGTTCATGAGTAACTCGGAACTAGAAGTTTACTCCTGCACCAGCCGATTCAGCAAGTGCTGGAGAACCAGGCTGTGAAATGCATTTTAACAAACTTGCTGCTTTATCACAGCACAAACCAAGGTATGCTAAGCAATTTGGCAAGAGAACCACAGGGGAAGCTCGTCGCAAGACGACGCCTGGGCCATGCTCAACAGGAGGCCTGTCATACCAAAAGCACTATGAATCTCAGAGTCTTATCTGTTACATCGCCATTAAAAAGTAAGCTGTTACTACTGTCTATTCCCTCAGTACACTCTTACAGCACAAAGCACAGCAGTGGCACAAACCATCTTATTTCTGGCACAAACCTGTAATGAGGTATGAATACTTAATTTGGTTCTCCTAATTGTATATGAAGTCTCATTTCTACCAAAACTATCAAAGCGGGCCAGACAGTTGGTGCGAGTTTCCCATGTTAGTTCTGTTCCTGTTTATCCCCACGCGTCGAGCACTGCCACACCAAGCCTTATCCTGCACTAAACTTCCTGTTACTACCCACCGCTTGTAACAGCTCTTCTAAGGTCGTCCAAACGGTTATCTACTTCCTCGCGGGTATCAGTTTGGGCCGGCTTATTTGGAGCAAATTAAGTGCCAGTTTGGTTTCCACTCTCTCTGACTTAAACAGTTGCTGCTTATCTGGTGTTATGATTCCTTGAAAGACTGACCTCGAAGCCATTCCCATGAGCTTACTGGTTGTGGTGGTGGAGCAGCTGCTGAGAAAGTTGGTATTGTTGGTACCGGCGGTGCCTCTAGCATCGGTGCAGCCGTATCCACATCATGGATACCACTACAGGACTCATTATTCATAGTGGCCACATTTTCATGGATAATTTGTTGTTTCGCCAGTAGTTTGTGAAGTAGTGTCAAATTATCGAGGAGTGGTGAAGACACTTGATTCGGCTGCAAACTGGCGAACTATTAATTTTTAAACATTTCTCTTACTAACTTCCTCAACTTTCCTTTTCCTCTTAAAAAATTCCATGAGGTCGGATTGAAATGATCAGAAAATTAGCAATAGTCTGAAATTTCGAAAAACTGATAAAAGTGCGTGGAAAGATGGCGCGCATATATCGAACAGGCGGAGGATACTAAATGGAGTAAGCAGTCCAGTCTCAAGGGGGCTGGCTTAGCTGTGCTTGACATCTGAAGCCCAGTAACATCGCAAACACGGGGCAACACCTTTGCCAATTGTTCGGTCGTCTTGGTATTGTGAACGCAGAAGCGAATACTGAAAGCGGCTAATGCCGCTTGCATAGCGCTACACCCACCTTTGCTTAAATAGAGTATAAGCGAAGGGGAGTGCAAAGGGTCAGACTATTGCCCCATTCTCGTCTAGCCCAATTTTAAAACTAAAAACGTAGGTCTCACTGCGCCTATGAATAAAGAAAGTATGAAAGGAAAAATCACCGAGACAGTAAGTAGTGAAGTCGCGGACCAGAGACATGCCGGAGCAGAAGTACGTCGAGCTGAATTCGGATAATGTGCTCGGGGACGCTCTATTCGTGGTCTTTTTTCACTCAGTGTCGTATCATAATTATTTGAATCATTCTTTTCAAAGCTGGCACTGACATCACAGTCGCAAGTGTCAGCAGATACTGATTCTTGATCGTTAAACTCAGATGTAAACCCGGTGAAATCTGGATTTGGGATAACTGTTGCTGTTGGAACCACTAATTCTGGTCGCTGATTAAAGCATCGCGTAAACGAGGTAAGACCCGAATTTTCATGAATTTCTTGAGAAGAGCCGGAGGTAGTATCCCGAGCTTCTTCTTGGAAGCTAGTATCCGAAGCGGAATTAACACCACTATCTGATGAGTTGTGTAATAGCCTGCAGGTAAAAAACTCATGGTTTCGCTGCTGAATTTTGTGAGCCGATGGGGAAAAACGGTGTTGGAATGATGGTAATTCTGGACAATCCAAATCTGGAATCGCTTGTACCATACGCTCCGCTTGCTTGCCAGCGGAATCGACACTAGGCGGCTTTGCATCAACGTCATCGCCCTCTTTTTTTGCTAAGGACAACATCCCCCTACTTTTGTATCTTTCATCATTGTTATCATTGCGCTTATCATTATCAATAATTTTATCAGCACTCCTATCACTTTCGCTATCATCGTTTTCTGTAGTATCTGTTTTTATTGCTACTTGGTTTCCGTTCGTTTGGTAACTGGAGCCGTAGGTCGTCAGACCAGAGCAACATTCCAGAAGACCTGCTGCTGTTCGCAACGCAGGCTTCTTGATTTCCATGTTAGTTTCGCTCGGATACAGATGAGGCACTACGAAAGTAGAAATATACAGAAAAGTAGCACTGATAATTATCCCAAATTATGGATAGTCTGGAAGGCATTCTGGAGATGAATGATTCAAGCTGAAATAAAAATCGAAATTCTGGAACCGAAGTGTGGACCTGTTTTCAATTAGCTGGCAGTGACATGCGGAAGAATTGGAAGAGGAGGATGAGGAGGAGGAAGCGTGAAACAAAGTGTAAACCAAAGATGAAGCAGAAATTTTGTGACAGCCCAGTTCGATTACGTTGACCGCGACAACGTTAGAGTGAATTAACTTAGTTACAGTAATGCAGGTGATCGGCCAGCACTGATCAACAGGTGTCACTGGTGGCGCCAAAAAGTTTCCGCGCTGTAGCACCTTCGGAAATACACAGAAGGAGAGATACCACCCCGTCCTTCGAATAAGAGTGACCAGGATGACCACCAGCAACAGCAGCACCACTACAGAAGACGAGCACCGGATTTCATGCCCCGGCCGACAGCATCATCATCGTCATCATCACCGCCATCTGCGGCACCTCCCCTTCCACCATTACAGCGAAGCGACGGGGAAAGGCAGATGAAAACGATGAGGAAAATTCCATAAAACCAACTGCCGACTAGATCCTCAGCAAAAGAATCGTGACCAACGGCTACTCGAAACGAAGCAAGGCGTGCGGAGATTTCTCCGCCCCACCTCATCAGTGTCCTCTGTCACCTCAAATTCGTACTTCTTTCGGAGGTTTGCTTTGAAAAAGTAAACAAAAATGTTGATTTTGTGGAAGTTGTGTTCGTCACCGCTCGTGAGCGAGCCTTTCCTTGGTCGCTGTCCCTCTCCGTCCTCCGCCTTTTGCATTTTTCCATGCGAATTCCGCACACTTTCTTTAGTTTTCGTAACAATCCTTCGTTTCTTGCGCTGTTTCCCAAATGAGGATAGGAAAATTTTCTGTTTCACTTTTTTCTTTTTCAGTGATTAGATGGAGAAACAAAGCACCGTATCCGATGATCAGTACTCCAATCAAAGCGCTACAGCACCAGAAACACCCGTACCACTATTATTACAACACCAGAGACACCCGTACCATTTATTCCTGTAGCAGAAGTGCCTTCACGGCCACCAGCACAATTACGTTTTAGAATGCTCATCCGACTTTAGTTTTCTGGGTATGTTCGGAACTGTGGTGATCCTCAACATTGAGCTACTTCCGGGTTCCTTTTTCGCCAAAATTCTTTCAGTAGCTAAATTCAAAGGAATCATAGAAGCTTCAGCATACAAGTACTGCAGCTATGTTGTTTATATAATGTACAGGTGTGATCCCAGGGTCAAGACATCGTAAATCTGCTCCTCACCTATCCCCACTATTGCACCTAAGGACTCGACTCTGAAACCACAACTTTCCCCCCAGCAATTAGATTCCTTTTGTACGAAGTACTTAGGATGACCTCATAATCTCTTTTCCCCTTGTCCTCCGTCCAAAAAAACAGCATGATAACAAATTTGGGCCAGTACGCTGGCCATATATGGCACCGCTCCTGCCTCTGCGCGGAGTCCCACGGCGTTAGCCATTATCGAATCTGCGCTAGGGAGCCGCGCGGCGGCTCTCTCACCACGTATTTTTACATTCTTTTTATGCGTTTTTTTGCGTTTTGGCATATATGTAAATTGCAAAAGCGCATATTGGGAAGAGGCTGTGTGTGTGTGTGTGTGTGTGTGTCTGTGTGTGTCTGTGTGTTCGTACTACCCACTTTCAACTCGAGACCCAAAAAAGCTACAAGGCTGAAACTTTGGGGATATGTGCGTATACCATGCGCGACCCTCCCGTTTTAATTTCATCCCCC